GGTAAAGTTTTGTCTATATTCGGAACCAAAAAATGATAAAAATAAAAAAACCATTATGAAAGTCATTAACATTAAATTTATAAATTAAGGTAAATACTCCAAATGTTGGAACAGAAAAAAGCAGGAGAATATATACTGCAAATCGAAATTTTAAGATTAATTATGTTAATTTTGAAAACTAGTTATGTTTAATTTTTTAAAAGTAAATAAGGAAATATTAGTGGCTTATGGACCACGAGGAGTGCGCTCTACGTGTTACTGTTTCTCCATTAGCCGCAAAAGCCAAAACCTTTTCTGCCTCAAGAAAAATTATATAATTCTTAAAATAAATAATTTGTCAACACTTAAATAAATGACTCACTTTAATATCAAAACAAACAAAAAGGTTTTCTTATATTTCTACAAACTCTCATCTCAAGTAATATATTCGTTCACCCACTCTCATCAGATAGATAATAAATTAATGAGAATTATTAAATAACATTATGAATGTAAGTACTTATAAAAGTATAAATGCCAAAACTTGTCACTTGTCAGCAACTAGGTTAGACCAATTGCACACACACCAATGTTTTTAATTTTTAGTTTTATCGTACGCATTTAATGGGTTGTATTACGATTATATGTTACTTTCCTTTGTGACAAAAATAAAAATTACTTTCCTCTTGAATTGATATTTCTAACGTTATTTGTAAACTAAAATACTAAATGATGAAATTATGACCTGCCCTATATTAGGGAAGTAAATCTAGTGCTGTTTTGTAAACTTTTATTAGAAGATTATTTGATTAATTAATTGTTAACTTTAGTGTTCAAAGAATGGGCTTCCTATATGACAAGTCCAAATCGCAGGGGGCCCATTTCGTGCTTTTAGCTAATTTTTTATTCCTTCAATGATTCGCATATATAGAGCTAATTTTTTATTTCTTCAATAGAGAGCTTCGAGGAAGTTGAAAATCAACATTTCAAGGGATCCCATTGTTAGCAAATCCTTTGCAAGTGCGTATTGCACATTATAGAACTTACTAAGATGGATAAAAGAGAATGATAATCAAATAGCTCATTTAGAGCTTTAGTAATGGGTTAATTGGCTAGATAACCTAAAAAAAATTATAATTCAAAAACTAAGCAAATACCTTTATGTGGCCAAATCTCATCTATTAATTTTAGAGTTTTTTTGTTAGTTTTTGAATTATATACTCTATATTTTTTTTTTTGCTATCTAGCAAATTGACCATTTAGTAATTGCA